GCGAATCAGAACATTCGCTCGTGCGTCGATCGACGCAACCACCATGCGTCGGTCGATGCACAACCTGCGTCGATCGATGCTACCGTGTGTCGATCGACGCAAAGCACCTGCGTCGATCGACGCACGAAACGCAGAAACCAGAATCGAGCCTCTCCTCTCACGGATCAATTCTGGAACTCGTTCCCCTCGATCTCCGGTACAAAACCCGCACCAAACAACACGAAATACAACCACAAACAGCAATCAAACGCATAAAACCAACCAATCATCATGAAAATCCAAACGCAATAACAATCAAACGTATCCTATCAAAACCTTTACCCATATAAGCCATGGTCACGCACTCACCTCGATTCCGGATAGAAAACGCTAAGGAAACGACGAAGAACACGAAGAACAAATCCGTAAACYTTCCCCGCACGATCCTTCCTCGCTCTCAMAACCTCACAAACACCACCACAAGCTTAATAAGATTGAGAACACGAAGAAAACAACAACAATCCTTCACCTCTCAATCTTCTCACTCTAAAATCTCTGATTCTYTCGGATTTCTGTCCAGAAATCCGATTTTTGACTTAAATAGCCAGCCTGCCGACACTTGCGTCGATCGACGCAAGGCACCTGCGTCGATCGTCGCACCAGCCGACACTTGCGTCACTCGATGCAAGTTACTTGTGTCGCTTGGCGTAAGCTCCGGAACCCGACTTCTGTCCAAACGCATGCATCGATCGACGCACCACCAAAAATCCACTTTTTGGTTCGTGGGCGTTACAATTCTCCCCCACTAACACGGATTCGACCTCGAATTACGCGACACCGTCTCACAACGGTCTCCACCACCTGACCTCGTCTCACTAAGGTTGACACTCTTTCCCAAAACCCGCCCAAATTCTCCCAGAAAACATCTAAAATGCAACACTCGCTGATCCAGATCAGGGCTGTCCGATCGATCGCGCAACAATCAAACAAGAACATGCTCGACCAGCCGTAGACCCAGACCTTGGATCATTGGTCGCACAACAATCAAACAAGAACATGTATGACCAAAGAGGCTACACATGTTTACCAAGGTCGTCTGAACTAAAGTTCCAAACTCGAGTAAAAACCCTAGATTAGACATCACTATACCACATGAGATCATTCCCGATCCCTGAAGTTCATCCAGT